CGCTCTCGCTTGTCTATCGCCCTCGCGCGTGCGACTAGCTTCTGTCTGCGTGGGGGAGGGAGGGGAGGGTTTGTGGGACTGGGGTGTGCTGATGGGGCGGGGATTGATCCCTCCTCCCCTTGAGCCTGTTTGACTCTGCGTGCTGATGGGACTGTATTTGTATGAGTATCACGGACACACAGACGAGTGTTACGGTTAATGACAGTTTCTCCCCTTCGCCAACCGCGAAACCCTAAGCCCTAAACCCTGAGGGCGCTCCAACCCCGGTTCGTCATGATGAAACACTCATAAGTTTTGCAATCAGCAATAATAAACACTATTGGCCGATGCGCCAGTGTCGACTGATCACTCAAGCAAGACGCAGATCAATGTTCACCTATGCATAATTGTGCAGCGGGCATGTACATGACACTCAATCAATTCACGAAGCGAGCCAGTCAGTCAGTCAGAGTGCCCACACCTCCATCTCCGTCAGGGTGAATGTCTTACGGTCCGAGAGTGTGCCGCGTCCCGCCCCACACACCACACCCAGATAGCCCGGAGTCGGCAAGTGCTCTTTGGCTATCCACAGCTCACAACTCCTCAAATCACAGCTGGGTCCGACAGGTTTGGCGTACCCCATCCACAGCGCCGCATGCTGCGCACCCCCCATGAAGATGTTGGCTCGTGGCGCCCCATTGCTGCCCCTCACTGCGCCCTGCCGGCCGGCCATCTTGACTTTGCGCGCCTCGGCGGGGAGGGGGATCTTGGTTGGCTCGTTGCAGGCCCCACAAAGAGAGATGAATGTGAGCATAGCGACAGACGTGCACGTGGACGCGGAAGCATCAGGTGGCTCCAGCAGTTGCCCGTCGATAAGGCAGCCGAAGACGTGGGATTCGTGACGCATGAGCAGGAGCAGACGATCGCCTTGTGAAGCAGCGATGCAGTCGAGGAGGCAGGGGTAGTGCCAGCCGTGGCGAGTCCCCTTGTACAGCAGTTTCATCGAAGTGCATGCCACGGCGGTCCACCCCGCCAACCAATCGCGGAGAGCCGCATAGCGATACGACGTACGCAGAAACTGCAGACACAAGGACACACACACACACACACACACAGAGAGAGAGAGGGAGACGAAGGCAACCACCGCACGATGCAGATAACGGAACGGCAGAAAAGCCCCTCTCTCTCCCTTTCTTTGTCCGTGTGTGCGTATGTGCGTGTTGCATTGTACCTGCCCACCCGGCACACACAGGTATCGCGAGACGGCCATCAATTTGCTGCTCTTGCTCTGCATGCCGTGTCAGCCACACACATCTTTAAGCTAAGCACATATCTCTGATTGGTTGGCCGACCGATAGCATCTTCTGCAGCGCGGCTTGCCAGGACCGCTCGGCGTGTTTGATGAGCTCCTGCAGGTCCTTCTTGTCGTCGTGGAGCTCCACCTGCATAGCGATGGCCATCTCCTCCAGCACAAACCGACGCTCCTCCTGTTAAGGTTGTTTGTAGAGTGCATCCATCCCGTCCACGGACAGACACAAAACCCGCATGGCTGTCGTGTTTGTTCGTTTGTGTGGTTGGCCGACTGACCTACCGACCTGCAGTCTCTCTTGGATGCGTTTGTCCTGCTCCCCCTTGGCCGCCTCCATCTCTCGACGAAGAGCGTGCTGCCGAGCTGCCCATTCCTGTGGGCAAACCCGCGGATGTGATCAGATGGCTGTGGTTTTGTGAGTAGCACTGCTTGCCTTTGTTTTCTCCTCAAGGGCGGCCTCCAGTGCCGCTATCCTCTGCACAGCACAGACAGAGGAGTGCATCGATTGCCCCCCCTCCCCTCCCTCCCCTCCCCGCCCACCAATTCGCGGACTTGCCTTTTCTGTCTGCTGTTTGTAGTCGTCAAACGAGGCCCTCAATGACGCCAGGTCACTGTGCAGCTGCGCATCAGTCCCACGTGAGGCAGCCCCCGCCTGCAAACAATGCGGGGATTGCCCTGACTCGAATACGACTGCAGACATCACACCGGCAATAAATGCCCCACGGTTCTCCCGCCACTTTGCGAGCTCAGCTCACATGCTCGCAAGGGCGAAACGCGAAGAGGGAGGACAGGAGTGAGCGTGGAAGCTTGTCCCCTCTGGCGATCTGCTGCTGATCTCGTCAAAGCTGTGACAGCGCGGCTTATGTCATTGATGAATGAGATGATGAACCAGTCCAACTTTGCTCGCGCGTGAGTCCAGTCAGCCGCATCGCAGCCAGCCGCCACCATTACGCGTCTATCGTCGTATCACTACCCTCATCGGCGGCCGAACAGATCGGTGCTTTCGGCCCTGCACGCTGCCCACGAGGACGACACCATGAACACTGCCGAACAGAGCCTACTCAGACAGCAAGACCCTACCGACGAACACATGATCGAAATGACCGACCAAGATGCAGACGGCGAGAGCAGCACGGCCAGGCGCAGCAGGCGGTCATCTGCGGGCATGGGCGGTGACCACCGTGGCTGCGGCAGCAGGTGGATCTGCTGCAGGGCCTGGAGGGGCATGGTCCGCACGCTGCGGTGCATGGGGCGGCGGGCCTATCTCGAGAGGACCATCCGCATGGCCGGCGATGGGTCCGTGACGACCGAGCCCGAGGCATCGCGGCACCTGCCCAACGTGGTCAAGAACCACAAGTACAACGTGCTGACGTTCGTCCCGTTGGTGCTGTACCAGCAGTTCCGCTTCTTCTTCAACTTTTTCTTCCTGTGCGTGGCGCTCGCCCAGCTGGTGCCGGTGCTTCGGGTGGGCAACCTGGTGACCTACCTCACGCCACTGGTGTTTGTCATCAGCGTGACCATGATCAAGGAGGCGGCAGACGACCTCAAGCGATACAGACGCGACAGGGAGGTCAACGGCCAAAAGTATCGCAAGCTCACGCCCCATGAGGGGTTCCGCGAGGTGACTGCGGCCGACATCAGAGTGGGCGACATCATCCAGGTCAACGCCGACCAGCGCGTTCCATGCGACCTGCTGTTCCTCAAGACGACCGAGAAGGGCGGGTCGACTTTCCTCCGCACCGACCAGCTCGACGGCGAGACCGACTGGAAGCTCAGGAGGCCCGTGCCCTTCATCCAGGCACTTCGGCGCAATGACGACATATTCCGTGTGCGGGGGGAGCTGGTAGCGGAGAAGCCGCGGCGGGACATTTATGAGTTCATGGGCTGCTTCACCGTCTTCAACAAACGGGAGCTGTTGCAGCAGCGGCAGCAACAACAACAGCGGCAGAGCAGAGGGGCCGGTGATGAGACGGCGTTGGGAGGGGTGCAGTCGGAGAGGCCTGGGGGCGACCAGGAGGCCCCTTCGGCTTCTGCTGCTCAGTGGCCGGCGGCGCCGGCGTACCAGAAGAGCGACAGCTTCAGCAGCCAGGGCAGCAATGCAGACCTGGGGGTCAGTCAGTGACCAGAAAGAAAAGGCCGATGTATGTATGTATTGTCCTGTTGTGTGTGTATGTATGTGTGTAGGATGTGGTAGGCGGGTCGCCGTCCAGCCCCCGTCGGGTGTCCAACGTGTCGAGTGAGCCGCTCACCCTCGAAAACACACTCTGGGCCAACACAGTCGTCTCGTCAGGACAGGTAGGGCAACACGGCACTCTCTTATACCCATCCATCCATCCGTGTCTGCGTCCGTGTGCAGGTGTTGGGTGTAGCGATATACACGGGTGTGGAGACGCGCAGTGCGATGAACACGCAGCACACGATCAGCAAAGTGGGTCTGTTGGACATGGAGATCAACTTCTTCAGCAAGATCCTGTGCGTCATCCTCCTCTCCCTCGCCTTCCTACTCGTCTGCACCAGGCCCCAGGGGCTCACGGGCATCTGGTACATACACTTCTTCAGGTACAAACACACACATAGACACACACACACACAGGTAAGGATTCTATGTGTACACTCACTGGTCGATTGATTGATGGGCGGTAGGTTTATCTTGTTGCTGTCGAGCATCATCCCGATATCGATGCGCGTCAACCTCGACATGGCCAAGGCACTCTACTCACTGCAAGTAGGTCTGACGGATACCAGTCCATGTGTCCACGTCTCTATCCGGGGGGTGGGTGCTTTAACCGATCGATCGCTCAGATAGCGCGTGACTGGAAGATCCCCGAGACCAAAGTGCGCACCTCATCCATACCCGAAGTCAGTCAGCAGCCTCACATTCATCCATACAATACAGATGGGGATGCAGCCTCGATCGAGGAAGAAAGCGACCCTCTCTGTCTGTGTGCATGTGCGTATGTGTGTATGTGTGTATCTATGTGCAGGAGCTGGGTCGCATCGACTACCTGTTGTCGGACAAGACGGGCACCCTCACCAAGAACGAGATGATCTTCAAGAAGATCCACCTGGGATTCACACTCTTCACCGAAGACACACTCGACGGTATGCAGTGGTGTGCACACAGACTGCCCCTCCTTCCATCCCTTTCTCTCCATCTCTGCGTTAAGAGCTGCGGGCGACGCTCAAGGCGGCCTTCACCGACTCTGAGTCAGCCCCGCCCCCCCTGTCGGCCAACGGTGGTGCGGCGCCTCAGTCAGCGATGATATCTCGTGTGCCTCGGCAGCCACGGCAGGCGAGCAAGGACGGTTCGGCTAGCAGCGGGGTGGCCACGCCCTCACTTGTCAGCACCACATCCATCAACAACAACAACGACACCGACAACATGGTCACCTCCAGAAGAGGTACGTGGGCAAGAGGAACAGGCGCCCACTTAATGCGGCGATGGATGGATGGACGTCTGTATGGTTGTGTTCAGATTCTGGCATGTCATCTTCGTCTCTGGTGGGTGCGCGATTGCGCCGTGCTGACGAGGTGGTTGCCCTCCAGATGGCCGTCGTGGCGCTCGGCCTCTGCCACAACGTCACGCCACTCAACACTGACAAAGGGGTCAGAATATCCACCGATATGTGCAAAGATCATCGTCACACGTGTCTGCTCTCCTTGCTGCCTCGGTCCATTCGTCAGGTGTCGTTCCAAGCGTCGAGTCCTGATGAGGTGGCGCTCGTGACGCTCGCAAAGAGAGTCGGTCTGCAGCTCAGAGAGGTGCGCATCACACCGCACCACACCGCACCATGCAATTGCACAACACAATGAGGACATCAAACATGTCACATGGTCGGCTGTGATTTGTAGCGTGACGCGTCGAGCATGACATTGGAGGCGCCGGACGGCCGTGAGGTGTCGTACGACATCCTGGCCTGCTTCCCATTCTCCTCAGAAACCAAACGCATGGGCATCATCGTCAGGGAACGGTCGGTAGCATACACATACAGACGGAGAGAGAGTGCAGTGTTCCCATGTCTGAGTGTCTGTCTGTGCTGTGCAGGTGGTCAGGTCGGATATTGTTCTTCGTCAAGGGTGCTGAGAGCGTCATGATGTCGATGCTCAGACAAAAGGCGTCGGGATGGCTCGCAGAGGAGTGCGGCAACTTCGCCAGGTGACCCACCGTGACCAACCCATGTACCATCACACACTCTCTCCGCCTGTCTTCCCCGCCTCTGTGTCTGTCTATTGTGTCTGATCAGAGACGGTCTGCGCACCCTGGTGGTGGCCTATCGGGAGCTAGCGCCACAAGAGTTCCAGGACTTCAACACACGGTAGATGGACACCGCACAACACAACACAACACATCAGATGAGATCAATGAACCCCACCCTCCCTCCCTCCCTCTGGTATGTATATCAGTTACGGTCAGGCCAAGGCGAGTCTGAAGACCGACCGCATTCGCAGCACCATCGCCGGGCTAGAGCGTGAGCTCCAGCTGCTGGCCTTGACGGGTGTGGAGGACAAGCTGCAGGAGGATGTCAAACTCACACTCGAGAAGCTGCAAGAGGCCAAGGTCAAGGTCTGGATGCTCACTGGAGACAAAGTCGAAACTGCCACCTGCATCGCAATCAGTGCCGGTCAGTCAGACAGACAGTGAGAGAGAGAAAGATGGAGGGCAGGGATGGTGTAAGGATGCTCCTGTGTTGTGTTGGTGACGGTGGGGCTGGTGTTTAGGTCTGAAGTCCCGTCTTCATTCGCTGCATGTGTTGACGAGCAAGGAGATCACCACCACCGAGGCAGCCGTGCAGGCCATCCACAGATTCGGACGGGTGGGAAACGCAACACACACAAAAGGAGGACCAGGACTGCCAGTTGCCACATGAGATGTTGTGTGTGTATGTCAGGTGGCGAGCAACTCTGTCTTGGTGCTGGACGGTGCCTTGGTGGGCCTCTTCCTCCGCGTGTGCCCCGAACTGTTCGTCTCTGTCGCAGGACAGGCGCCATCAGTGGTATGTGCAGGGACAGCCCACAACTGCCCAGGACACCACCCACCGTGTGTTGCGTCATGCAGGTGTGCTGCCGCTGCTCGCCGACCCAGAAGGCCGAGGTGGTTCGAGCGATCAAGAGCATCACCAAGGGGCGCACATGTGCCATCGGGGACGGGGGCAACGACGTCAGCATGATACAGGTATGTAGACGTACGTAGGTTGATAGATCAACACATGCTCATTTGTGTGCATACGTCTGCAGGCCGCTGACATGGGCGTGGGTATTGTGGGGAAGGAGGGCATGCAGGCCGCCCTGGCGGCCGATATATCCATCGTGCAGTTCAGATACCTGCTTAGACTCCTCCTCTGGCACGGACGAAACTCATACCAACGGTCGGTCGGTCGGTCGTGACATCTACCCATCCATCCATTCATCCATCTGTGTGGTGTTGCGTATGTGTGTGCAGGTCGTCTCGGTTGGCCCAGTTTGTGATTCACCGTGGTCTGGTGATAGCGATCATCCAGGTGCTGTTCAGCGCCATCTTCTACTGCATCCCAGTGGGCATCTTCCAGAACTGGCTCATGGTGGGGTACGGCACCTACTACACCATGGCGCCGGTATTCGCTCTCGTCCTCGACGTCGAACTCCCAGAATCGACCGTCTTCATGTACCCCATGGTCAGCATGGGGACATACAAACGCAAACACGTAAAAGACTTCTGTCTGTGCGGTGTGCGTGGGGTTTGGTGGGTGCAGCTGTATGAGACTTTGCGCAGCGGTCGCATTTTGTCGCTCAAGACGTTCTTCGGCTGGGTGTGGAAGAGCACCTACCAGGGCTGCGTCATCATGGGCGTCGCTGTCCTCCTATTCCAAGTCAGACATACGCACCAACAGAGAGACAGCCATCCATGCATCAGCGGCAAGGATGACTTTTTGGTTCCATATTTCTGTTTGTCTGCAGGACTCCTTTCTGAACATTGTGGCCATTTGTTTCACGGCCCTCATCCTGTCTGAGCTCCTCAATGTCGCGTCAGAGGTCACGCACATGCACACAAATTAACCCCAGCGCACCAGACCACACACAGATGGGTGTTTGTGCATGTTGGTCGTATCAATGCTAGGTTCGTACATGGCATCCGCTGATGATAGCGGCCGAGATTGTGACGGTGCACGTGTACGTCTTTTCGATGTTCATCATCCGCAGCCAATTCGACATCTACTTCATCATGACACTCCAGTTCTGGGGCAAGGTCGCCGCCATGGTGGCGCTCTCATGGCTGCCCATACACATGTTCCAACTCATAAGACGGTCAGCCTCCCATCGACACGCAATAACGTCTAAGCACATCCATAATCCGTTTGCGATATACGTGCAGGTTCATGGCGCCTCCGCAGTACGCCAAGCTATACGACGAGGAGGAGCAGGAGCTGCCCCAATCCACGGCCACAGGCGGGCTTATGTCGATGCCACCCTTCCCCCCGCCCCACTACACTTACCGCCACGGAGGGCCGAGGTCGCCGCGCAGATTCTCGCTGACATCGGCATTCACACCCTTTACGAGACACGACCACCCATCCAGCAGTGCACGCAGCCCCTCCCTCCTCGCAGACCGAGACGCCAGCAACAATGACGCCAACAGCAGCAACAGTGAGGGTGCATTTCGGTCGACGTATTCCCCTGGTGACATCCGCGTCTTGACGAGTGGGGTTATGACGCGGCGGAACCGCAATGACATTGACGGGTCCGGGAGCGTTGGGAGCGGCAGCAACAATGGCAACAGCAGCGGTGGGGGCCTGGGGATGGGTGGAGCTATGGAGATGAACACTGTACAGCTGCAGCCAGGGACAGATAAGGGGAGGACTGTGATAGAGAGATGAATGGATGGACAGATAGGGTGTGAGAAGGGGCAGAGCGATGGTAGATCGGTGTGTGTGTGTATTTATCCGTAGTTGCGTGACATTGTTTGTGGAGCAGCAATTGTACCGATCAAGCGCGTCGGTGTGTGGACCCTAGCTGCGCCATTTCTGTATAGACTAGATTGCTGCTTGACCGATCTTGCATTGATATCATCATTACTAAAGTGATGGATCCTTAAGCCGGGCGCCCAAACGCACCGCAGTGAGCTCGATGAACGTGCACGGCAGTAGGGAGCTTGGGCCTGCCGGCATTGGCGGCGACGAGGGCAAGAATGCTGGCCATGGCGGTGTTGCCATGGCTGCGGATCTGTGGACGGACGAACACGCGGACGATGAGTGCTTCTCGAACACCCGCGCAGCATGCGAGCTATTGCATGCGAGACGGGGCGCAGAGCTGAAGTGTGCCCCGCCCTCATCGTTGCCACGCCATCATGAAGTTCTTCTTCCTCATGAACCCAGCTCTCTGCCTCGCCTTCGCAGCTGCTGCGTTCGCCTTCCAGAGTGCTGGTCGCACGACACAACACCACTGCAGTGGGGCGCCCACTTCTTTGTGAATGTGCATGCATGATGCAGGCGCATCTGCGGCTGATGTCGAGGCCCACCAGACCCTCTTCGGTTGCAAAAAGGATGCGGACTGCAAGAAACCGCTTCAGAAGAAGTGCTATTTCCATGTCCACAAGAATGGCACCATCGGCACCAAAGGCATCTTCTTTCGTTCCAGAGGCAAATGCAAGGTAAGCGGGCGGACGCACGCACTACCGTGGATACGTTTGCGTGCATTGCAGGAGCGGGGTGAGGACGATGACTTCTGCGACGACGACCATCTCTGTCAAGGGGATGGGCCATTTTCGATCATCATGCGCCGATGCAGCGAGAGGTCCTACGGCGACAAACTTGTCTCCACTTGTGGCCCAACCAAAGGTATACGAGTATACGACTCAACCCATTGGTTCGTTCATTCCTCAATATCAGATGGTGACCTTTGTCGCACCGACCTCCAGTGCGAGGAACACAAAGAGCCCTTCAAGTGCTACACTGAACACGACCTGAATGGCAATCCTGTGGAAAAATTCGCCAACGTTTCCGCTCAGCACTGCAGGGTGAGTGTTTGACTGCAGGGTGAGAACAAACGCAAATGTCAGAATGCCAAATAGGACTGGGCTGACATGCACATTTGTGTCCACAGAAAGCAGGCCTCTACTTTGAGGATTGCGATGACAGCCACCCCTGCACGGCATCGCTGGAGTGCGTGGCGCGGGACTTTCCCAACCACAAGGACCCGATCCACCTCTGCGCCTATTCGGCAGACGAAAGCGCATCCGACGGCCTCGTGAAGTGGAACAGGCCACAAAACCCTGAGGCTGTGGCCGATTGGTGGTCTGTTGCCGATTGGTGGTCTGTTGACACTCGATTGTGAGTACTCCGAAGAAGCACCTTTTTCAAGAGACAGTGATCGACAGAGGAATCAATCAGGAGAGGGAAAAGAGAGCTTTTTTCCTCTTTTTTTTTCTTTCCCTCGCCCCCAGTGCAACTGTTTTTCGTTTCTTTCCCCAATGAGATTGTTTTCTATATCGGGTGCGTGTTTTCATGAGGGCCTTACAGGGAAAACCAATGCCCATGAGACACGGCCTATCATCACGAAAGAGCACAAAACATGTACTACACACCAGTGGTTGAAGCGTCGTACGAATGCATAAATGTCCACACCCATAAGCCTGCACTCCCAAAAGCCAGCGCCTCTAAAAGCATGCACATGGCCACCTACATAACGCTTACTCTCACAGATTCCAGTCACCAAAACATATATCCAATCGCTAGTATCTACGCCTCTTCCTTGTATTGATCAGACTGCTGAATGGCCCAAAATGTAAGTTGCCCACTGATTGATGGTGCGTTCTCAGCAATGACAGATCCGGTCGCGCCTCCCTTGTACCCATACATATCTGATCAGAAGGCCGCTCATGCACACAGTCCAGATCAAAGGAGTGCCTCACCGGTTGGTCACAGGATGGTGGATTCGCCTGAGACAGAGGTTTACGCGCGGCTGTGGATGAAGGCGAAGTCAAGGAAGGAAGAGAGGTATCCGGGGTGCGGGGGGTGTGCTGTAATGTAGTTGTCGAAGGAGAGATGGCCTCAACCGACGTGAAGACGAGCTGTCCGTTGGCAATACTTCCGTTCGGTGACAGACGTGTTGTCACTGCCTGGCGAGTAGCTGCATGGCGACAGCAGAAAGAGGAGACACACCGATGGAGACATGAACCACTCATAAATTGTAATCTTATTGTGATACTTGCAGCAACTTACATCAAGTTACATCCGCAGGTGTTTTTCTACTCGTCTGTCCATCCATCTATCCGTCACCTCTCACTCACATGAGGTCATCAGCCCCTTCACAGCTGCACAATGGGCACTCACTCTTAGCACTACTCGTTCTTCCACGCGCAGGTGTGGGGACCTGAGACAAACAGTGCATGATCTTGTGGACCATAGTATGCAACAAGATTCCTTCACGTTACTTTCGTCCGTCGCTTAGCCATTCATGCAGACATAGCAGCGCTGTGTGGCTTGTGGGGCGGAGAGGGCCACATACGCCCGAGCAGTTAGTCTGACTGATTGAGCAGCCAGGAAGGTATACTGGTGTACTGGCACTGTAAGGCTACACACGACCGTCACGTCATACTCGGCTCATCATTTGTGTCACGGCATGATTTTTCACCTCGCGTTTGTCGCTGATCGATCGGTATGTATCCCTTCGTGTGTGTGGACTCGGGACATCTGTGAGGCCGCAAGGCGAGCCACCGCCTCACGTCTCATTGCAACCTTGTGCAATCACCAATACACACTAGCTCGGGAAAGGACTTCTCATTCTCATTGAACCGATCCATCAATATCACAGACAGACAGACTCTCAGCCGGTCATTCATCACTCATTGGGACGGATGGATGGATGAGTGTCCATCATTTACACACATGACATGCACGACACGACACGCGCACGCACCCACCTGCGAACAGACTGACATGTATGGATGGATGGATCATGGATGGATGTACACCGGAGGGATGGCCCTCTACCACACACACAAGACAGCACACAACATGCACTCCACTCCACTCCTCTCTGTGTACATTACATCCACCCAGGCAGAGGCACGCAGCTAGGCAGACAGACAGCTCGGGGGCGGGCGGGCGGACGCACAGGCAAAACAGCATTAGACAGACAGACAGACAGCAGGCAACCTGTTGAAAAACCCCGGTCTGCACACAGGTACGCATCAATGACACCACGCAAAAACGACACAGCCACACAAATAAAAGCATAGACAGACAGACACAGAGTCCTCCCACAGAAACAGACATGCTTCCCCGTGGGTGCTGCTCAACAAATGCATGCAGGGAAGCCGGTAGGCAGGCACGCAGACAGGTCTCGTCATTCGAATTGCTGGCTCGCTGGTTCGCCCCCCCCCCCCCCC